GATATCTATAAACATATTGACCACATTTTTTTTACTTTTCAAAAGCATTTGATCGTGTTTCTCACACAAAATTACTAAGTAAACTAGAATTTACATTTGGAGACAGTACCAATGTTCATTTGATTAAAAATTACTTAGCCAATCGCTCACAATTTGTACAGTTACAGGACACCACCTCCAGAATAGCAGCAGTCACGTCAGTTGTGCCACAGGGCAGTGTCTTAACACCAATATTATTCACAATATACAATAATGATCTGTCCCTCTTAACTGAAATAAAACTAAGGCTCTTTGCAGAAGACTGCGTACTTTACCGGGAATTTAATACTCCTACGGATCACCTAATTCCTAACAGAGCACTAGAAGATGTACACGCGTACACGTGAGCACTAGAAGCACTAGATGTACACGCGAGCACTAGATGTACACGCGAACACTAGAAGATGTACAAACTAACTAGACTGAAACTGATGTTTCAACTACTCCGAAACATAATAAAAATTGATACTTCAAGGTAAATATCTTTTTTTTTCACGGCAGACCAACCCATCATAATTATTCCCATTTTCTTGTAAAATACTGTTTTACAACTAATTGCTTTAAACACTCATTTTATCCTCTGATCATTAAAAGTCGGAACTCACTGAAAGCCATCTTAACCACTGAATCATCCATAAACTTTTTTACAGCTGAGATTGAAAGCGAATGGCTTGCTTCGTAAATCGCTCTAATGCCATCATATTGTCAATAAACCCATTAAACGATGAGTCAGTGTCATGTTACTAATACAAAAGTTGTGTTTTTATGATCGTTAAAATTCAAGTGACATGTTTTTCGATTAGTTTGTTGTTCATAAATTTGTTTGAATAAGTTGTTCAATAAAAATGCCGACTTGCTGTCCTACCCCATATGACAAATGCATGCATTATCTTTTTGCAGTTGTTTTTAACGACAACCTAGTTCATGATTTTGCTATTACTAAAATTGTTTGATTATGTGTTCTTATAAGTATAAGTATAAGTATAGGTATAAGCACGTCTCTGCATGTTCCTTTTAAAACTTTCCTCACACCAATGACCCAAGCATTATCGATTACATGCAAAACTGTTTGATTGAATTCGAGGGCAACAACGCTCAAATACTTTGGAACAAGTTCAAAAATGTGTGTCAATATTGGCGAGATAATTTTGTCCCTAATACAATGAAAAAAATTAAAAAGCGAACGCCTTGTTTAATCGAAAAATCATTCAACTGAAACGCAGGATAAAAAGAGATTAATAAACATGTGCAGAATGACAAAATAAGGCAGATGCAAAATGACCTCGCTGGTGCACTTCGCGCAGCAAAAGATTAATATTTCAAAATATCGCTTCCTAACTTCATAAAAAATGAGCCTGCTAAGTTTTGCCACTACATAAAAGATAGCGAGAAACCAGTTACACAAATATCCGTTCACAGGAAGCTGGGGACAGTTAACTGTTAGATAGCTCAACACTTCAACAACCATTTTCAAAGTGTATTCTTTAGCGCAACTGTATGCGCATGTGACGGCACAATCCTTACATTATTATATACGAGTTTTGTGTCGTTGCTAGGGTATTTAATAGGCAACTTACCTTGAAAACTAAGAGCTCTTCTTCTCCCGAGGAAATTCCTCACACATTTCTCAAGCGATATGCCGAGCTTCTTGCCAACTTTCTTGTAACTTTGTTTCGTGTCTCAGTCATTACTGCACAACTGCCTATTGAGTGGAAGACAGCCCGGGTTGTTCCTGTGGTAAAAAAAGATGACAGGACACTTATACAAAATTATCGTCCCATTTCACTGGCATCCAAAAGCTGCAAACTGTGGAACATAATATAGCTCACTGTGTTCGTGAATTTCTTGAAAATAATGCTGCACTAACAGAACATCAGCATGGCTTTCGAAAAAAGTATATTAACAATAACCCAACTAATAACACCAGTTCATTCATTCACTTCCTCTCTTTATTTGAATGGTCAAGTAGACGTAATATTTTTTGATTTTAGCAAAGCTTTCAACAAAGACCCGCACGATAAACTAATCATAAAGCTTAAAATTCTCGGTGTCTCGGAACACTTCATCAGATAGATATCTGCTTACCTGACTAACACGAAGCAATATATCGACATTAGAGGTAAACATTCCGAAAGTTTGGCAGTCATTTCAGGGGTGCCACTAGGCAGTGTCCTAGGCCTCCTGCTTTTCTTGGTTTATATTAATGATAATGTTGATGTACTAGGTCCCGGTGTTCAAATTCGGTTATTTGCAGACGACAGCGTAATATTCAAAGAAAGTTTTCATCTCGATGATCAGGTTGACTTAAATAGCAGTTTAAATAACGTATTGCAGTGGTGCAAAAAAGGGGAATGGTGTTGAACGCCAATAAAACCGTAATGCTCCCTAAAATGCGTAAAAAAAGCCCCCCCTTCCTGCCTTTTCCTTACAAGTTTGATTCTTCACCACTTAGGCAAGTCCATAGCTATAAATACTTAGGTGTTACAATAACAACTACCTTATCGTGGAATAAACATATAAATATTTTTTCCTCCTCTGCATTCAGAAAGCTCGAGATCTGCTTTCTAAAACATAATCATCATAATACCCCAAGCAATGTTAAATTACTGGCCTATTATTCTTTATAAGACCTAATAGAAATTTGCGACTGCAGTACGGGGCCCATACACTTAAACTGACATGAAGTACCTGGAAAAATTACAGAAGAAAGCCGTCCTGTTCATTTTTAAGAAGTTCTCATCAGTCGACTCTCCTTCTGAAATAATGAAGGCCAATAGCATTTTCCTTCTTAGCACACGTCGAAAACAGATAAGAATTGAACGTTTTTCTCTTCTTCTGAACCACAAGTTTGCGTTTGACCGATCACCGTAACAAAGATCGTTATCAACCAGACCCACAAGGCAACCTCACGCCAAAACTCTAACACCTTATTTGTGCAGGAGAGACGCCTATATGTACTCATATTTTCCCTGCACGGTGTCAGATTAGAACGAAATAACTCAGGCATCATCATATAATCTATTTCTCATTCGCTCTAAATACCATCGTCTTGAAAATTCACGTTTCCAATCTTTTATTCCAGTGTTTTTCTTTTCTTTTCTATTTTCATCTTGTATGTGCTCTACTTATTGTATACATAAGTATTCATTACTTTCATGGCTTGAACAGTGAAAATCATTGTGTTTCTGGTTTTGCATGTAATATGTATTTATTTCCCCTTTAATCACACATTACATGAAGTATGAATATGTGGTGTTTTTTTCTCCTTTGTCCGGTACATGAGTTATTATGAAATAATTTTCTATCTCGCTCCTCGTGTTCACTATGAGTATATGAAACACTCACCCCAAAAAAATTTTTATGCCACTTATTGTTTCAACTATGTCCTCTTGTAACTGCCCACGTGCTTGGACCTAAGGGTCTGCAGTATGTAATAAACAATATTGATAAAAAATGATAAAATAATGAAATATTTCATTAAAAAATGAAAAAAATGAAAAAATTGAAAAATAATGAAATATTTACATTATTTTTATGTCAGTGTGTAATTCTGGTTTTTCTTGTGTTGTTGTCACAGAACGAGCGCTAAAAATGGGCGCGCCGCCAAATTCTTGCGGTAACGCGCGGAAGAGACGCCAAGAGGTCAAAAGAAAAAAAAAGAAAACAAACATCCAAGGCTCCCCAGGTGCGCGCTCTCCCCTTGGAAGCGTGGCTTCGCCGACGAACCTCCTCACCCCACATCGGCGGCCGAGATAGCCCGCGAAAGTTCTAGAACGAAAGGGGCGTGGTCATACCGAGTTGAGTCATCGGCCGCGGAGGGCATTCCAACCGTCTCGCCCTCTTCCCAGCCTTCGCTGCGTATCGCGCTGACGAAATGACGAGAATCTTCTGGAATGTCGCGCGCAAGGTATTTAACCGAGCAGCCGAAATGAGAGATCAGGAGAAGACGGAAGTGAGCGCCAGAGCGCGAAGGGATCCCGCCGTGTAGTCGGCGAAGGTTTCGTCCGTAGGGACAAAGCAGGAGATGAAGAGGATTTCCACCTGAGGGGTGACGACTCGAGCTACAGGCAAGAGTGTGTGTTTACAGCTGTCAAGCGAAGACGCGTGGCGACAACTGCGTGTGTGAAGCCAACGTGTTCGGGCGAAGAAGTTTGGAGCTTGGAGAGTGGCCAATTGAAGACGCGAGGTTTCCTGGAAGAGAAACTTCGAGGGCGCGGAACGACAACAACGCTGGACTTTAAGTGAGTGATTCTCGGAAGAGTATCATCCAGACTTTTGTTCCAAGAACTTTGGACTGGATAGGTTTTCTATCTCTTTAGTCTTTAAGTGTCTTGGTTGTTCAATGCATGCGACTGCATTGTAGTGCGTATTGTTGTCTTGTCCGTTGTTTCAAGTGTGGTTGATTGTACTGTGTAGTACGTTGTTCGATTGGTGACGTATTGTATGTAAATATTGTGGAGTGTGCATTTTTGTGTATTGTTTTCGATCTGCCATTTTCGAGAATATAATATTTGTTTTGTTTATCAACTCTCGGCTCTGACTTGTTCTTTGGGCCACAGCCGGCGTCCGCTGGCGCGCCAAAAAGGACCACTTCTAAATTGTCCACGCTTTCGTGGTGCGGTTCGGGGGGTCGATACATCGGCCCTTAGAATTAGCCCGGCGATTGCCTCCCTAATCAACGGGACCGGGGTGTGACAGTTGTCATCATTATGACATTGTGTAAAGAAATATTCGCTTTCATATGTCCTCCCTGCCATAATCACTGATGAGATTACCAGTATTCGAAAATAAATAAAATGAATAGGTTCTCGACAAAATCTGCTTGAGTGTCGCACCTTGCTTTTGAGTGCCCAACGATTCACCCAAATGACAAGCCTTATGACTACAACTTGGCCGTCATGTTGCCTTTAAGACGGACAATTCAGTATATTGTGTCTTCAAGAAATTTCCTTATTTTGCAGATACTCTGCAGCTGACGGCAGACTCAGGGTCTTTACTCACAGCCAATTCTGTTTGGGGCCTACTCAGGGGCCTTGAGACGTTCAGCCAAATAGTGTACCCATACAATGCCTTTGAGGTGAGTAGTATATCGCTTACTGCAATGCGGCGCACGGGATGACAGAAAAGAATGCACTTGCTACTTTTGCAGACTTAACTCAAGCAAAGCAAAGTATTTGCTCAAAGAGTGGTCACATGGACCAAATGTGAACTGTTTGCTTCTTCGAAGGCGTTTGGTATTAGTACCACCTAAAGACTAAACATTTTCTTTCAGCCACGTGCGACGCCCAGCTTCATAACATTCTCCATAAGGACAAAAAACATGGTATTGTGCCATTTTTGCAACCAACATGTTGCAGACAAGGCACTGAAATGCCACTTATATCTGCAAACAAGACTTATATTGCGCAGAATAATATACGACAGTTATTACTACTATAATCAAAGAGAAATTTCCGATGCAGAATTGTTTTACACGAAACACACTTAACGATCAATGGTCCTGAAGCCAATGGCAATAAAAAGTGATGGAGCCACCCAGAAAAATGGGATCGGTAAAATGATGATTGGTTTTTGCATGAATGAGAACAAAATTACCTAACTAGTTGCATTCACCTCTTACTTATTATCGACAAAACATGAACTCTGAAAAAGCGGAATGTTGGCCAAATTGCCGTTTCTACAAGGAAACTATCGTGAGCTGCGCAACTAAATAGCACTAAAGAAAAGAAACAGACGAGCACTAGCACAAACTATTAACTGATTTTATTGAATGTGGATTCACACTATTATGCATCCTCAAATTGTGCAGGGGCAACGTCGCAACAACCAATGTAGGCTGTATAATTTTCAAATGAGGCGCGAAAGAAACCAAATTCAACACCACGCCCTGCTCACCTGCTATGCTTCTAAAAAATGTCTACCCAAATACTCCCAAGGCATGGTTAACCAGTCAGAGCTGAATTTTGCGGCTCGGTGTCGAGCAGTGTGTTCAATCTCACCTGCCCTGGAGCACTTCACAATTATTGGTTACGTGTTCCTGCTTTTTTAATGAGGTTCAACGCACACTCGATTTGGGTTTACCACAGCGCTTATTTCGCATGCCACTCAATGAGATTTGCCTGATAACCTGCACAGGAAGTATAATGAGTGCTTAAAAGGTAATCAAAGCGGTTGTTCTCAAACGACAGGCGGTCACCGACGTTGCGGCCGAAGCCAAAGTGCCGCACGAAAAACTCCTACCAAAAGTGGGCGTTCACTCCGGCAAACGTGCTCCTGCCATCTCACTGACGCTGTTGTGTCCGCAATGCCGCTAGTTCAGCGCAGTATCGTCGCAAGCATTTCACATCGCCGGGTAATTCGGAGGTGTGGTTTGCAGGATCCACCCGCAAACGGCACTTGCATTCCCGTTCGCGCTTTGGCGCTACTTCGAAGGCCGCTGGATCATCTGTACCCAGTTGGCGCCGGCACTCGGCCTCCAGGACCTGTTTTGGGCTCGGACTGCACCATCGGCCTGGCGAATGCGAGCTCTCTCATGTTTCTACCGTCGACGCTCTTCTATAAATTTCCGTAGCTAAACAACGTGGCAGCTCGCAGAGGTACATGATGCGTGCATGCTGTTGCGACGCGCGCCTCCGACGACGTTACGAAGGGCGCTACGAATCTCACTGCTGCAACCACTGTTTCGAAAGACGGCGACGCCAACACGGTCCCGAAGGCGCCACTGCTTCGAAATCCGCAAGGGAAGGTCACCAGCCGTTTGGTAGCGTAGGTTTCTCAGCTCGCGACTGCTTCTGCGCTGAGCTGATAGACGAGTGGACGAGACGACGGTGAGTTAAACAAGGTTTATGTACAGCATATATACAGAGGCGTTACAAATTCGGCACTGGGGCCGACAGAGACTCGAAGAGCCGAGCTCTCCTCTCTAACACATAGGTCTGCTCTCAAATGGGTCCGCTGTAAAAAGGGATCTCTTCGACGCGCCGCAGGGCTTCTTTTATATGCACCGGGTCCAACCCGAATGTCCAACCAGAAGCGCCGCTGGTCGCGAGGTCAGAATCCTCCAATGAGGTCGCCGCTGCGCCGTGTCCTTCTTTCTCATCGAATCTGGAGAGGCTGCGCTGCAGGTGGCTGCACCCTAGGACAAGTGACGTCGCCGCGCATTGCGTCAGCCGCCCCCACCCCCCCCCCCAGACAGGAAGACGCCAGTTGTTTACTCGACGGGCTTGCTGGCTGCGCTGACTGACTGCACGTGCGCGCCAGAAAGGCGCCGAGGCATGATGACGCCGTTGAGTTGTTGATTGCGTCAGGCGGCCTTGACACAGATTGCCTTTTTCAGAGGCACGGACGTTCGCTGTGGACTCGCAGACATAACAGCACCCCCGCCGCCAGACAATGCGCCGGAAAGACGAGCTGCTTCCACGGGGCTCGGATGACAGGCGCGCTCGTTCGCCAGGTCTCTCCAGGTTCGCCTCCAGGGCCATGGGGAGAATGCAGCTCCAGACTCCGTTCTGGGAACACATCCCATTCTTGAGGACGGATCCCAGCTCCACTGGCTTGTCGCCACAACTTGTTGACCAGCTTCGCTCGTCTCTGACGATCCTTGGTTTCAGCACTTGTCGATGGTTCTGCAACTTGTCAAGAGCGGATCGACAACAGACAACACACGACACAAGCAAGTGCCCTCGGTCATCCGACAGAACACCAGACAAACTATAGTACAACATATACCTAGCTACGTGTCTATCGGAATTTCGTTCCCTCTACATCAAGAGGCATATGTGCGACACAAGACGCTTAAAATGAGAGCTCGAATTTTCACACTTACAACAACGCAACGAATTAGAATACCACATAAAGTTGGCCCCTTGAGATCACTCTGAACGAGAGCGCTCAGCCCAGGTCGTGATGAGGTCAAAGTTTTGCCCCGAATCGCCAGCGAGAAACCGAAAGGTCGAGAAGGTACTAACTAAACGCACGGCTCAATGCGTCTGCATTAGCGTTTAGCGTTCTTTTTTTTAGCAAACGTCGAAGTTGTGCCGTAAGAGTATGATGCTCCATCTCAGTAACCGGCCACTTTTAGGCGACGATACCTATGCGGTACCAAGAGCGGCTCACACTTGCGACGTTGCACAGGGGAACAACGATACGGCTTGCTACGGATTGACTCCTCACAAGTTAGCTTGACATCGTGTTCGATCACCGTCGTGTTTCCGGGACGGTCCGAACACACGTCTGCAATCTCGGAAACAATCTTTCTCGGGTCCTCCTTTTGGACTTCACTTAACCTAGGCTCTAGGATCACCTGCTGCAAGATTACCTCCAATTCCCTTTCGACTACATCACTAGAACTTTAAATTTCTGCTCCCTCTTCCTCTGAAGCATTCAATAGCTGATTTACGAATGCTTTCAAGTTACTGTGGTAAATTTTGTTCGGCCGCCTTCCTAATTTCAATTCATAATTGGTATCAGAAAGCTTCGATATTACTTTGGTAGGCCCTTCCCAATAACCCTCAAGCTTGTTCTTTTTCGACGGCTGCAGCAGCAATACCTGACTTCCTACTTCAAAAGCGCGCTTCTTCGCCGATTTGTCGTAGTACTCCTTCGACAATATTTGTGAAGCTTTCATGTGGCTTTCCCCTAGCGCTTTAATCGAGAGGTCCGCACGCTGCTCTTGAATGAGCGTCTCTCGATCAACCCTCGACAGCTCAATCCAACTTTCCGCTACAGGCGAAAGCGTTGCAATCCTCTCGCTCTGACTCAATGGCGCCATGTCGTCTCCCCTCCACGCATACCGCGCCGGTCGCTTCGGCGACGGGCCGCTCGCGTGACTGCTCACATGACTCACGCGGAAAATTTTCTCTGAGGTTCTGTCGACCCGCCGACAAGGTCACTTGAGAGTTCACCACATTGAACAAGATCAAGCTCCTGCGAAAGCTTCCGCGCTTGCGATCGCGTGAGGGCCATGTACGCCAAGTTGGGGAAGAACGATTTACCCTGTTCTTTGAGAAGCTGCTCTGAGTTGTTAGAGAAAAGATAAGGAAAACGATCGGGAAGCGCGGCAGACACAGCCGCTTTGGTGCGAAGCTTACCGAACGGGCCTTCAATGACAACCGTGGCGATTTGTAAGCAAACACTCTGCTCCTCGGCGACTTGCCTGATCCACGCGAATTCTCCTGTAAAGTCCCCCGGAGACACCAATGAAGGATGGAGAACGTCCATGGTTGCCGCTGAGTCTCTAAGTGCTCGGCACGTTTTCCCATTCAAACTAATTTTTTGGATATACGGCTCTAACAACCGCATGTTCTTTTCCGATTCTCGATTTGCTGCGAAAGCAAACTTTTGCTTACAGTTTATCGCGATGTGCCCTTCCTTTTTGCAGTTGTAGCAGATTAGTCGCTTCCGTGATTCAAACGCCCGTGTGATATAAGTGCGTTGTTTAGGAACCTCACTCGATTTCTCCGCTTGTTTGCCCTTCCCCTACTCTGTCCTTCGTAAGAGACGGGTCCTTCTTGAAATTACGGTGCGGAGCGGGTTTCCATTGATCAGGTTTCTTCGAAAAGCCCTCTTTCATGCTTTTCAACGCGCACTGCCCTGCTATGCAACTTTCGGCGAGTATAATACTCCTTAGCTAACTCTGCTGCCTTGTTTAGCTGTACTTACCCAAGTTTGTCCTGCAGCCAAAGTTTGACATCTTCCTCGATGCAGCGGTAGAATTGCTCCAATGCAACGCATTCTACCACTTTATCGCGGTCGTCATAAACACCTTCGCCCTTGAGCCATTCAATTAAATCAGCTTTAAGACGAAACACGAAGTCAACGTGTGACTCATTCCCCTTTTTAGCATACCGGAACCTTTGCCCGAAAGCCTCGGGTGACAACCTATAACGTCTCAAGAGGACTTCCTTAACCTCGTCATAGCTCTCAAACGCTTCCCTCGACAAGCAAGTTATCACGTCGGACACTTCGCCGGGAAGAAGAGCTAACAGGTTCTGCGCCCAAAGAGATCACTCCAAAGCGTTTCGCTCACTGACGTGTTCAATTTTGACAAGATACTTCGCCATGTCCTCGCCTACTACG